TACGAATTAATCCATTCGTATGAAGAAACTCTTGTCAGCATGCGAATCTGTCGAATACCATGTTTCCCTCATCCCCCGGTTGTACTAGTATTGCTTTGTAGCTTGGTAAACTAGGCAGATACATGTACTAGTACTTCGGAGCCACTCGTTCGTGCTGGAGTAAAAGAAACGTTATGTTGCTAAGAGCATCTCCAACGCGGGTCCCTATCCCAACTCTATATCTCAAAACTTCGGTTGTACCGATACTTCATGTTACAGTACGGATAATTTGGGGCTTATCCGGGCGATTTTGTCCCCAAATTATGGGGATGTCCCCAAAGTGTTCAGTTATTGGGACGTCCAAGCGAAATGGGGACAAAAACACCCGGATACATCCCCAAATTATCCGTAACTTCGATAATACCACTGTTGTAACAGATTTTGGGGATAGGGACATCGATACCGGAATAGGGACTCCCGTTGGAGATGCTCTAACGTAGATGGCTAGTTTATGGTGCACTTGAAAGAGACTTCGTCGTAGAATGCAGCTTACTCGTCTCCCAGGACCGGGATTTCAATTCTGAAAAGTGCTGCATGAAGCCGAAAGGTCGGCCATTCTTCTCATTATTTAATCGGCTTGAATAGACTTCAACATAGCGTTCATTTACTTTGATTCCACTCAAGTCAAGGCAAAATAGGATTTAAGCTTAAAATATGTATGCTGGTTTTGCTTATTTTTTAGTGATTTCATTTTTCTAGTGATTCGATTGGCTACTCTAAAACTAATGCAATTCCATTGGCCAATTTGAGTGCACCTTAAACTGTCCCGTGCACCATAAACTGGCCATCTACGTTAGTTACCGGTCTACAAACTTGACGGCAGAACGATTTGATTTGCTGTAAATACCCACAGATGTACTGTACTGTAATATTCAGCTGTCGCGAAATATTTGTCAACTGAATTTCAATCGACAGTGGGATTCGGTACTTTTCCGTCTAATTCGTCGTTGGAGTCTGTTCCAACCAGATTTTGATGGGCAGGAATGCCGGCATCAAACGGGTTATTAATTTGGAATGGGCGGTACACTACGACGAAGAATACAATCCGCATTATCGGATGCGTTCCGTTGCAGTCAAATCACGTAGAATAATGGTCGAAAGACTTGCATTTTGAAGTGGACGTTATTACACTGAAACTGCGGCTTTGGGTGCTCTTGCTTTTGAGTACGAGGGGCAATTTGGATTGAATCTGTGTGGAAAATTGATGACACGCCACGTAGCGAACCCCACCATACTAGGGCTTTCGTTAGCAAACAACTAATGCAAGACGTCGTACGCAAAACCAAGAATCGGCGCGATCAAGTGGGTGGAGTAGATCCATTGGGTATCGTCGTGCTTGTGGTCTGTTCTACCACGAAGGCCACGCATAAGACTGACATAAGTACTTCATTGGTCAAACGAACATGAAGCGGCCATGAGTTGAGCCATTTCAAGGAAAGCAAGCTAAGTTCGTGCAATTCTCCTCGACGTGAAGCAGAATGTAAGATCTCTGTAGATGAGAAAGTACATTGAACTTCGATGGCATCGATCATCGCAGTGGAGCGACTTTGAGAGCCAATAAGCTGCCGCAATAAGACAAATCTATTGAACTACGTAGTATACCGGTATGCTACAAGGTAGTGCTGCAGTGTTGGGTTCGATGCTATGGACATCTTTGTAAGAACTACGTAGTACTACCAGGGGTAGTAATACTACTTTGCGATCAAGTTATATCGTCATCATTCGTTGATGGTCAAGTTGTGACGAGGCTGACAATGGTATGGACCCTGGAGCAACTGTAGTCGATGATATGTGGTTTCGTAGCCACAAATTGCTGCCTTGTTTAGTGTAAACATTGCTGGCAAATCGATCGTAATGCGTAGCAACCTGATCAATGTTGGGTGTACATACGCTTGGCAGGTACTTCTGGGGTGTCCTAAGCCACTCGTTCGTTCAGAAGTACGCGCCATGGTACCGTGTGCACTCCAATGAAGCGATGTGATTGGCTAACGAGTAGACACAGTTGCCAAATTCAGTCGTCGCGAAATGTTCTACCTACTGAATTTCACTGCACAGTGGGATTCGGTACTTTTCCTAACTGAATTCCACGGGTATATATCTCTAAACATGGTATAATACCAGCTTCTAAATTCATAATTCCAAAGCATGTTTATATAGGATACATTATGCAATTTTATAAACTATCTAAATCCAGCTATAATTATATGCACTTTATACGCCTACCACGAGGGCGAGTACCTGACTCGATTCTCGACGCCAAAACAATGACCACGCCCTATCTCATGTAATGGAACGATCATTGACATGTCAGACACTATTGAACTTGCTCAGTCCGCAACATGGCTTTTACAACTATCAACAACGATCCATTGTTTATGTTGGACATTCCACCGTCAAGCTCCATGCACCAAGACTTTCAAGACTGGCTGTATTGGTCCAACGTGACGACAAGCTCCCTGGAATCAGCCATCGTAGACGCCCCATTCGACTTCGAGATCCTGTCGATGCTAGCGTGTCCTAATGATTTATACTCGTCGCCTTGCACTACACCCGAGTCGGAGTCATCCACGGTCCATTCGCCTCGATCAGGACCCAGCTCCCCCGACTGCTCAATTGTACAGCGATGCAGGCAACGAACCCCGTGCAAAGTGCAAGACTGCCTAAGAACTGCCCGTCGAGGAAGGTTCTGTCCTATCCATGGCGGCGCCAAGTGCTGCAAGGTTAAATCGTGCGGGAATGCTGCTCAAACCCAGGGATTGTGTAAAACCCACGGAGGCGGACCTCGCTGCCGAGAGCACGGGTGTGACAAGAGCAGTCAAGGGGGAGGACTATGTCGTGCCCACGGAGGCGGCAAGCGGTGCAGTCACGTCGGATGCAGCAAGGGCGTCCAGCGTGGCAACAAGTGCGCAACGCATGGCGGAACGCGAATGTGCTCTGTCGAAGGCTGCGTTCGAATGGATCGCGGCGGCAGTCTGTGCGAAATTCATAGGAAGGAACACAAGTGTGCTGTGAACGGATGCAAACGATTGAGCCATGTGCTGGGCAAGTGCAAATTGCACCTCCGCCAGCAAACCAGACAATTGGCCGCGACCCATTCAGGATAATAAATGTTAAATTTACTCGTAATTTGGTAGTGAATCATTATGTGTGGCTGGTGATTGTATTAAAAGTGTAGTTCCTCAAGTCCTCTGTCGAAACCTGTACTTTGAGGGGTGACAGCTTCCACTGGTTGATACTGTAGAATGTGCACACGACGACTGTGATCACCAATACTACTTACTGTATTAGTAGAGATTGGCCATCTACTGTATACCTATACAAACTGTACTTCAACATGGATGCATTACTGTACGGTTTAACGTTACTGTGTATCTTCGGTTAATACTGTATTACCGGTAAATACACTACTGAAAAATGATGAAAATGGTAACGTTAGGAAACAATGCACTGTGCACCGGTAACCTCGAAGTGCTTGTATTATTAACGTTATCTGTATACTTCGAGGTACATACTAGTATAAGACAGACACGACACATAACCGACAAAATTCGGCCCCGTGATTGGATGACCGACAAATGATTGAATTCGGATTGGTCAGTATATTTTTCCGACAATCCGATTGGACGAGGCGATTGTCCAGCAGCAACATATTTCTAGCATTTAACATGTACGGCTTTCTATTGGTTGAAATACTGCCGAGCCAACATTGTACACGAAACGGTGTCGATCAGCATATGTAAGTAAAACGGCAAGTCTAATCAGCAGGAGTAGTCAGCCGGCGCCCCACCATGATGCATGGAGACCAATGGTGGGATCCCTTTTGTAGCCCATTCCACACAATAACGTTTGCGACTTGTAAAACGTACGAATGCGGCTAAAAGTAATGGTTGCGCTTTAGGTAGTCCTGATTGAACCTTACTGTAGCTACGCCAACACCACCTTACCTCCAGTAGTGATTCCAATTGACCCCTCGTTCAACAAACGACATTAACCACGTTCTCCAGCTCTGCATATCCACATACTTTCGCAACATGAATTTCGTGGACTGCCAATTATAGTTATTTGCTCAGATTCGCAAACATCCAATATATTTCGTGACGAGAACAATATATTTCGCAAATTCACTTTAACGCGCTCTGATTGGTCAGAAAACAGTGCGCGAAACCGTCTTTCGCGCACTATTCAAACCTTCTCGACGCAACACGTCCTCATGGATCCCGACCTTCCACTCATCCTCCCCGATGGCGATGAACCTCCATCACCTCGAACCCCAGTAAGCACACAACACGTCCTCATGGATCCCGACCTTCCACTCATCCTCCCCGATGGCGATGAACCTCCATCACCTCGAACCCCAGTAAGCACACACATACTGACCTAGTGATTAACGAATGTCAGCCACGTCGACGAGGCACATACAGAAACGTCCCGATGTCGGCAAAGCAATGCAGTAGTCACTTTAGTCGCTTTGCTGACATCGGGACGTTTTTGTAGTCCATACTCGTCCATTGTGAATCCATTAGAGAACCTGTGGTCGGCAATGAAACTCCATGTGAAGACGTTGCTTAGTAAGCCACTCGCTGGGTCACCTCCTGGGGGAGCTACAATGAACGCGCGAGGAATGTCGAATGTAAATAGCGGAAGCATGCTGACCAAGTCATTCAATTCACCGAACCTCCATTATATTTCACCCCGACGTAAAATATAGCCGTTATATTTCACCCAACTTGTGTTATAATTCACCCAAACACAGGTTAATTCCACCTTTCGAAAGTGAATTCACCTAACAATTATTATAATTCGAGCTTCGAATCTAGAAAGTTCGAAGAGCGCGAAGAGTTTCGCGCGCTTTCACCATTCTTGAATCTAAGCTCGATGGAAGAGGCCATCCCTGCACCACGAACTCAGGCACAGCTCTCTGTATAGTAGGATCCACCGCTAACATGCCATGTAGGCACCCCGACGTGGCCCCTTCAAGCGAGTTCCAACTTTCTGCCAAGGGACGTGTGGTCCCAGAACATGACGCCGGACAAGCCTGGAAGTCCTTTGCTCGTGCAAATGGAATCCAGGAGTCCACTGCAAAAGGATGTCTCATGCTAGAGTTGTTACACAGCGGACGAGGCATTCAGTCCATGTGTATCGTATTTAGCTAACAATGAAATATGAATTGAGCCGAATCGTTTTGCGTGTGTACACGGCTCGCCTTGAGCCGTTTTATGTCCGTGCTGAGAACATTGAAGGCATGAACGTTGGTGCTTGAGCCGTAGATGTGTTGGTCTAACCTCTTGGATGTAAAGGATATCCTTTCCATGAAATATATAGGCGAAATATATTTTCGAAAGGTGAAATTAACAGTTGGTTGGGTGAATTATATCGGGGGTTGGGTGAATTATAATGGCCAAATTTCAATTCAGGGTGAAATATAATGGAGGTTGGGTGAATTAAATTGGGGGTTAGGTGACTGTTGGTGGAAATATTTTGAAAAAAAGCTGAAATTAAACGCAAAATGGTGTAGTTTCACATTTGTAAATAAGACCCTTGTCGTAAAAAGATCTCCCCGTCCGGGAATTGAACCCGGGTCACCCGCGTGACAGGCAGGTATACTGACCACTATACTAACGAGGAATACATTCTACTTGATTTCATAGCAACAATGCAATTAATATGAGTGTTTTAAACGTGCGTTTTATTCAACCAAGTCAAATGCATGGCGTAAAACGCAGCCGAGCGTCATCGACTTTGTATACTAGCAGCACACTGACTGTGCATAATTTAAAAACATCATCGATCGATGAGTCACGTTGAATACTCAAACAAAGTAAAAAGGTGAAAGGACGAGGAGGGAATATTAATTTGCATGTTGTGCCCTCTGTTCAACTTGGGCCATATTCCGTTTGAACTTGCCGTGATCATGTCGAACGGTTGGAAATGCATTGCGCAGCCGTCGAACGGCGCCGTGGCCGCCGTTCAATTGAATAGTGACGACGAAGTACAGTGCTTGGGTTTCAACAGCCGCGACTGCGTGTACTTTCACTCGATGCAAGACTGCCACGCCAACCTGAACCCGGCCAAATCGGTCAACCCGTTGGTGTGCGGCAACATGCACAAGAATGTGTGGGGCGTCTCTGGCTACGATTCCGCGAGCCACTGGTGCGCTGCGGGTCGCCATCACTTGGGCAACTTGCCTGCCATGTCGTTCTTGGCCAAGGTGGACGCCCACAAAGTCGAAGTCAGCGTCGGAGCTGTGGCCACGTTCATCTTGGCGTTGGTGGCGTTCATCGCGGTCCGAAAGTACAAAAAGACCGACTACCAACTCGTCAAGTAATTCACAATACAACCATGCTATGTGTATCGTCGTCAGGCTGGGGGCGTCAATAATATGTTCACGAGCAGATGTCATATTGAACAATACAGTAAGTGCATGAAGGATCGATCATATACATGATGACCAAAGCCAGAGTCGAGTGTGCATCATTGTGTTTAACGTAGATGACGGGGGCAGGCAGTCGACCTCGCAACTTTTGGCGAACGCCTATCGAGAAGTTCTTGGTACAGTAGATAATGGCTACAGGCGTTGAAGTACTATTAATTTTGAGTACCATTGCATGATCAAAAATCGTCATAGGTATGTATTGAACGGACGAAGTCCAACTAACTACAGTACCAGTACTCCATGCATTGCCCCCAACAAAGTATCGCTCCGTCGATCGTCAGTCGCATTCAAATACACATGAGAGCCATGCATAGGTAGCTAGGTACACTACATTATTAAAGAGGAACATGCCTGCTTGAATGCAAAAAGCACTACCAAATGCAAGGTGCAGCTTATAAAATCTCAAACTGCACTTTCGATGCAGAATACATACACGGCGTATTACATTAACAGTTAGTACAGTCGGTTCCGAACCTTGCGCATATGGGGCGTAACGTTATGTCCATTTCCAGCGTATGGCTGAGTCGATTGCATGAGTTGACTCGGCACTCGCGTTCCGTTCGATGGATGTCGCAGTACCATCCTCCCCCGCCTGCAAGCACCCACGGTGCATGTACGACAGTCTCCATGGGTGGCGCATTTGTTGCCTCGCTGCACGCCCATATTGCAACCACTTTCGTAGCACCGTTTTCCCCCACAATCTGGGCCCGGCATATAATATCGTCAGCCAGTAATACCGGTAGTACAATAATAATATCGAAGAATTGATTGGCTAGATAACGTAGTAATTCCATCGGCGCTACAACGTTACTCACTTGGCTGCACTTTTCGCAACCGCTAAACTTACACGAGGCCTCGTGTAAGCGCCGCCACCATGGGCCTTGCAAATGCCTTGGGATTGGGCGTCGTTGGATTCCGCGCAAGAGCACTTTCTACCGCCGTGGGAAAGGCAATGGTCGCAGTCTTGGGCATCGTTGGGGCAGTCTGGCAGGTTGCAAGCTGGAGAGGTGCCATGGGGATTGCAATATTGGCGGTGGCGCGCTCGACGGGTGCATCCTGGACAGACACAGGCCCGACGACGAGGGGCTCGGGTGGCACTGGTCTGGGGCTCCCCCCCCGTCGGTGTTTCCGTTGACGACGGACTGGCGCAACCACTCAATTCTGCAGGGGAAGATGGCTCGTCGGACAAAAAAAATCGCAAAATTGGACCTCCAAGGGTCAAAGGCATCCAACCAGGGCTTACAAGGAAGGGCGAAAATGATGACGACGAGGTCCGACGGGTAAAATGGGAAAGGCTCGATCGTGAATCTCATCGAGGCAGAATGTCATTAGACCAAGCGTGTCAAATGGAAAATGGACAATAGTGGGTAAATCTTGAGAAAAATTGAAGCGTCGCTGAAGGACTTGTACCGCGAAATTGTCGTAACGTTAGCTGCGTTTTCCAAAGCCAATGGTCGCGAGGATGAAAATGACGTGTAACGTTATTCGCGCTATACTGTAGTGTCAAGTCTAAGAAATTCAAACATAGTTTTTATGGTTCACACGTTAAAACGACGACGACTAGACGTACTATGATGTCCTGCCCTTGAAATATTCAGTTGTAACAAATGTCGTACTGAATGGGAGGGAAACCATCAACGTAAACTTCACTAGCCCGAGTTTGCATACCCCCCGTTTGGCCAATCCATGGCAATCATTGTTTGAATTAGAAAAAAAGAACAAAAAACAGGTGTAGATTCTTTTGTGTTGCAAGAAAATATTTCATGACGTGGACGCTGCCCATTTGCGGCTCCAATCTAGTTGAGATTGTCCACATGCGATTTCAAGGATGACATATCACCGATGTTACTACCTGCAAAACAATGGGTAATGGCGACAGGTCAAGGAAGATGGACGGCGGCGACAGGGTGCTGCCTCTAGTTTGCCACACTTATAGTCGAAGATTCACAATGGAGGTAGGAAAGTACACAAATTCAATAATACTGTTACCCAAAGTTCATTGTGAACGCGCCTTCAAATGCAGCGGGCGGAGGCATAGTAAGTTGCCGGTACTGTAACCTTGGAAAAGCAGACTTGTTTGAAAGTGACAGTCCATAACGTTAGCTTATCCTGACCTACAAAATCAAGAAAATCATGCGTGCAACGTACATAGGGGGATGACTGTTGCCAACATAAACCTCAACTTGTGCAACTGGCGGCACAGTGCTAGTGTCGACAGTAAGCAGATACTTCGAAGTATAAGCCGAGCCGGGTTGGCGTAACAGTACTTTGTCGGAAAATGTTTTCACTCGTGCTTTTGGGGGTTTTACGCGTGTTATGAAAAGTGGGGGAATTACATTACTGTATTGGCCGAGATAGTGTAGGTCATGTCTGTAGTGGTAGCGCGACGTGATGTCGTCGTCGAGAGATGGCGAGTCCATGTCTGCGTGAACGAGGCTGGCTCCACCTCTGAGTACATCTCTCGGTGGTGGGACCAGTCGAAGGATGACTGGAATTGGTCCTGTATTGATCGTGATAGAGTATGGCATGGCTGTGATACTAGTGCTGCAGTATTACGCATGATACATGCATTGTCATAATAATCATGCTCCGAATCAGCAACACGACTTTCATGTTAGTCGGTCGATAAAAGCACGCGCAAATACCCCAGCAAGCGTGAAAACCCCAAGCACGCGTTAACCCCCCAAAAATTGTTCAAAATACGCGAAACGAGTAAATACCCCAAAAAGCACGCGTGAAAGCCCTACACCGTATTGGGTTGGGTCTGAGGTTGTGTTGAGAGTTAACAGTAAACTCAGTGAATATACTTCCGCAACAGAAATACAGTACAAACTCTACGAAATACAACTCCGAGTGCGTAGTAATACGCAGTAATGCCTTTATGTACAATTTATTTGACCTGTTTTAATCCCTGTAAGCACAGAATTTCAATGCTCCAACACATACTACATGTAGTATTGTGCTTTTCATGCAGTTTGCCCGTTGTTTAACTGCGTTAAACAACCAGACGTTTAAAATAATATAAGCCCGATTGAAGATAAAACAACGCTAAACATAAGTTCTGCATTTCAGCAGAATAAAACAACCCTTTCTTTATTTCAGCTGCTAACTAATCGAGTTGCAGCACCAGGCCAACTTACGCCGTACAACAACCAGTTCATCACGATGCATACCGTATTAGGCTGTGAAATGGGAGTACTATACATCGTGTTGTCGTCTTGCCTTCCACGTACAGTGCTCAGGTTAGACCAGATCAAGAATTGTAGGTATGGCATAGCTTTGAATCATTGGACAGAGCGACGACTACATGTACA